CTGTTCCTAAGGATGACCTCCCACTAGAAGCTTGCTCCTTCAAGTACCCTGGTGGCGCCTTACGGGGAAGGTAGCCAGGGGGTGCTTTACGAGGGAGTTGTGGCTTATCTTGTGGGGGTGGAGCTAGCCTAGCTTTTGGCGGAGGAGCTCCTGGTCGAACACCCGGTGGGGGAGCCTTATTTGTTTTGGCCTTTGCAACAGTGACCTGTGGCGTGCTGGGAGCAACAGCCTCCCTAGCAATCCGTTTGGTGGTTGCTGATGACAATGGCTGAGAACTTGCCCTCTTCGGTGGAGGGGGTCTCAATGGCTCCTTACCACTTTTATTGGGGGATCTACCTCTTAGGTTAACAGGTGATGAGCTATGCTGAACTGGTTCAGAGGGTGTAGATGTTAGATTTCTTGGGGATCTAGACCTGTCAACGGCACCTGTCGCGCGGGATTCCGCAGCGACCCCACAGGCAGCAGACTTTGGGGATTCTGCCGCAGCGCCCTCTTGTTTTCTCCACGGATGCACAATGCCCTGTGGGAACTTTGGTGAGGACTCTGAGGTGTCTTTTGGCGACGATGCTGCTGATTTTGGGTCTTTATAATCCCTAGAGGTTATTTTGATAGTTACCTTTTGCCTCTTTGGGGGTGGCACTTTAGGTGGTCGCGATTCAAAAGTTACTGGGTCGGCTTCAATGGGCTCAGCACTAGCCGCTGCAATGAAATTCCTACGTACCAGTCTCTTGAAATCTTTGTGATGCCAGTGCAGGGTCTTCTGTGCCTTCCTCCTCGGTGTCAGGATCACGTGTGGTCAAATTTACAATGTCCGAAGACTGCAAGTTTGGGGTGACCAACACGACCCGATGAGAGCTCAAGGATGGATTCTGCCAGGCGGCGTCCTCCAGTTCGTAAGGATCAATGCCCTCAACTTCTTGAGTCTCAGTTCCAGGAACTACCACAGGATGAGCAACTGGACGCTCTACAACTGTCGCGACCGAAGGTCCGGCGACCCGCACCCAAGTTCCTGCTGAATCTAGGCGTGTGTCAGGATAACCAGCAGCACGGAGTTCTCGAGCAAGCTCAATCTGCTCCCTGGCTTCTCTAGACAAAAGATTAACAGGCAAAGGTGGGATGGACCTATTTCTTTTGGTGTGCCTCTCCCTTGGAGACGCAGTTTTGGCAACAGGTGCTGGTTCCTCCTCACTTTCAACCTCAAAACTTTCCTCCTCTTCCTCCTGATTCCCCCCCACTGCCTCGCGCGCCTTGGCAAAAGCCGGAGCTCGCGCAGCGAGCTCTTCCGGTGTTGGCGGCGGATGCTGTGGCGGTGGTGGAATATTAGAAGGGACTACAGGTGGTGGTGATGATGGGGGTGATGGGAGCTTAGCCTTAGTCAAAGGGTTTACAACAGCTGGACTACTGGGAATCTTAGGGACTACTTCAATAATTTGGGTAGTATCTAAAACCTTTTGCGCAGTGGCTGATGTGTCGTGTTCTTTGGAAACAACGACTCCTTTGGGATTATTAGATTCTGGCAAGGGATTTACAACAGGATCAGCTTTTGGAGCTTCAGGCACGGCTGCACTTGATGGAGCACTACCGGATGCTTTGGCTGCAATCACTGTTGTGCCGCGTTCTTTGGGAACAGCGACCCCTTGCTGATGTTTTGGCGGCTGCAAAGGCTTCGCAACAGGTTCAACCTTAGGAACTTTCGGAGTGGCTACACTTATTGGAGCACTACTGGAACCCTCGGATGCAACGGCTGTTGCGTCGCGTTCCTTGGGAACGGCGACCCCTTGCGGCTGCTTTGGTGGTGGTGGCGAGGGCCTTGACACAACAGGTTTATCTTTGGGGACTTTTGGGACTGCTACAGTTGTTGGAGCACTACCGGAACCCTCAGATGAAACTACTGCTGCGTCGCGCTCTTTGGGAGCAACGACCCCTCGCGATTGCTTTGGCAACGGGCGGACGGATGATGAAGTGCGGACACTGCTAAACTCGGCTTGCTGTACAACTTGATCCGCAGCACGCAAAGTTGGTTGCCAGCCAGAGGCTGGTGCCTTCGGCTGCTGTGCCTTTGGCGATGCAGCTTTTGGCGGCTCTTTGGGCTCTGGCGGTCGTGTAGCTGCCGCGCCACCAGCCGAAGCCGGGGCAGCGGCCCGAGCTTTGGGCTTCGCAGGGGCGTTTGGGCCTACGTACCTATTATAGTAATCCCAGCTTTCTTGAGGAGGGAATTCACTACCCAGAATGTTCAAGTTAATGATACGCTTTGGGGGTAGTACGCCCTTTTCAACTGCGTTACGGCCGTGTCCAATACCGCGTCTCCTGTCCAGGCCGTTTGCAAGGGCCCAATTTTCGTATTCAGGCCACAAGTTAAATGTAAGGACTAAACACTGGGTTACGGTCAGATAATCTGCTATGGCTTGATGATTAGCGACTTGCCACTTTTGGTCAGTGTCAACACCGTCTAAAAGATATCGGCCTAGCCAGAAACCACGACCTGACCTCCCACCTGTATTTTGATACAACCAATCCCTAAAAGTATCTAGGTCACTAAACCAAGCCCGGATGGCTTCCTGGTTTCGTGTGGTCTGCCCACCGCGTGAACTCCTCTGTCAAGTGCGTTGTCTTGGACCTGCAGATGGAGCGGAGGGAGAGTGACCAGTACGGATGGGCTCAACACCAGGCTCAACTAAGTTGGGACTAGTGGGTGGTGCAACAAAAACAGATGTGTCTAGTTGTGTATTGGATGTCGCGACAACGGAAGTGTCAGCGACCCCAGGTTCAGTGGATTCAGCTTTTGGATTAGAAACTTCAGGGGCTCCTAAGGGGGCTGAGTCTACACTTACACCTGGGTTACCTGTCGTGACAACGGTTGTGTCAACGACCTCAGGCTTAGCGGATGCACAGGCTGGTTCGGATGCTTCTTGGGATCCTACTGCAACTGGCTCTACACTATGGCCTGAGCTTTGGGTCTCAGGTTGGACGGATGCTGCAATGTCAGAAGCGTCAGCTTCAGGACTCTTTGGGTCAACTTCAGCTTTGACAACGGCTGCAACAATTGCGTCTTCACCTAAGTTGGTTGTTGTAGTACCTTCAGTTTGATGGGCAGCTTCAATGATGGCTTCAGTAGAGGCTGGACCAAGTGTCTGTTGATCTTCTTCCTTTTTGACAAGCTCCAGACTGTTATTGGCGCCTTCCAATCCAGAAACTTCGGAAAAAGTGATTTCACCAGAAACCTTGTCCGTCGCGGTATTGTCACCAGCGACCTCTACCGAAAAATTGTCGGCTGCTTCAATTTGCGCTTGTTCTGACAGGATCGACGGAAATGCAAAACTGTTCTGACCTTCTTCCTCCACTGGACCTGAGTCTGTAAAGGCAGCCTCTGCAAGGACTTCTTCGGGGATGTTCAATGCTGTGGCAGGGTCTGAAACGTGGCTCGCAAAATCCGTCGCGACGTTTTCGTCGGCGACCCCGTCAGGCAAGAAAAATGTTGAAGGCACAGCACCCGAGCTTGATGTCTCCTGATGTAGCTCTTCCTTCACGTCTGTCAGATGTCCTTGGGCTCGATCTGCAGAAGTGGGCGCCTCACCAAAAGACAGCACGGGCGACAGAATATCCTCAGATAGATCCGCCCAGTTTCGGGAGGCCGCGGCGCCCGGTTCAGCAGTTGGTGGATTAAACTTCTCAACACCTTCTGCTTCCCCTAGAGCGTTGGCTCCTTCCACTGGAGTTTCCGGTGTCGCGCTGTAATCAGCAGCGACCCTTTCGGAGCTATCTGAGGGCATGCACGGTCAATGACGGAAGTGCGGGAAAAATAAAGGGGCCTAAACCAGAAGTTATCGAAGGATTAGACTTCCCCAAAAAGCACCTACGGCTGATAACCAGTGAAAACAGGGGACCGAACAAGGGAACCAACCACGGTATCCTTCGATAACCCCATTAAACAAACCAAGCACCCGACCTTTTTGGGCACTTGAGCCACGGATGTCAACCAGCGGTTAGTTATGACCCGAACCCGGTGGTTGTTGGATAAGGGACAACTAAAACCCTGGAATAAACCCTAGGCACTGAACATACCTAACGCTTCTAGGTATGTTATGATACTCAATGTACAGTATGTCGCGCAAGAGCGACATGCTAAGGAAAAACTATTTGGAGTTTGAATTGGAACTCATAGCTACGCTATTTACACTACGCTATACCTACCTGCTATGCTACATGTAGTGGGGGCTCAGGGGTCGATATATTTCAACTTATATAGAATATATATATGTATATTATAATATTAATTAATGGACATATGACTAATCATATATGGGATATTCATAGGTTTTCTCCACATGTTATTTTCATGAAATACCGCGGTATTGTTCAGAACGGAATTTCCAAATCATGGTGGATGATAACCTCCAATATATTTTTCGGGTAGTAGATTCACCAAGCTGATCATCAACCAACAGGGGTGTCTTGCAGCTATTGCTCAAGGTGGTTCTAGAACTGCGTTTCACATTGAACCACTTAGAAAGGAAACCATCTATATATATATATATATATGTATAGTGTATATCAAATCTGAGTCATTGGAGCAGTCTGGATAGCTGCAAGGTGACAGCCCAATTCCGCGATTTCCAACTTGGTTTATGTTTAATTCTTAGATTTATGGTACTGTAGATATAAAGTTAACGGTTCTTTTCAACCAACTTATAACATCTTATAACTGGGGGGGGTGGGGCACAACCTTGTATGAGATTTATAGGTTGAAACAAGGGGATGTGTTCCCATATCAGGCGGTATGAGATTGGCCTTTTGGGAAGTTGATGGGGATGTGGGGAATGGAATTTCCAACGAATGAAATGAATGTATACCGGTATAAGACATACCAGTAGATTCAACCTTGGTGTTGGAATGGTACCTGTATAGATGTTGGGGTCAAAATGCCCTTCATTGCATCTTATGGCATCTTATTCCCTTCGCTTTTCTTGGGAAAAAATCAGGCTTCTCTGCCTTAACAGGGCCTGCATTGTTGGCGTAGATGGTTCTCTTTGTGACAACGTCACGAAAGCGCCCTGGCAGCAGTGGCCACGAAGGACGCCACTAGGTGTACTGCTTCCCCTGGAATCTCCACGATGCCCCAGAATTTCTGTGATATTTGGGCAGTGCATAAGGAGACACCAGGACAGTCATGATGGTGGGGGTAACACCAAGAACTTGTGAGTAGAAAATATGTTGATATAGCAGTGACAGTGAAACAACGCGTTTTCTGCTTCAAAGCATCCGTATACTCCGAAACAAAGCAGTATTGTAGCAACAAATGAATGCATACTGGGGTCAACTCCATGATAGGCGTCAATCGGAACAAGCAAATCAACAGCACTGTTTGTTTTGCTTCCATAGCGCGCGATTCTACTTCAAGTGTGCAGCACTGATGGGTCATACTATTGACTTTCCTTGACTTTCCACTTGAAAACATATCACTTGCTCAAGTGGGTGTGTCTGAAAATGGGGTGTACCCCCATTTACAGCCATTTAAATCCATTTAATAGGGAAAATGATGATACACCATTGGATTTAGGGGTCGCCTATTCTCAGACACACCCAAATATTGCTTTATGAAAGCAGCAAAATCCAAATGGTCCGGAGACAAGATGTGGGGCCCCCTTGAAGAAGCACAGCTCGTGACACTTTTGGTCCATCAGGCTGCACAGGAATAAAAAACAAGCAGGTTCATGAAGTTCATAACAGATATTCACAGATATAAAAAAGCATATAGGCATCAGCAAACTCTGCCAAGACATGGCTGTCTGCTCACTGCGCAGAAGATCTAACAGATAGCAGTGCACTGCTCCACGGTTTCATCGTATTGCATAAACGAGCACTGGTGGTAAGATCAATGGGAAATCCTTAGGATCCTAAAATGGAGGTAAGTTAGTACCATTGGGGATATTCCCTGAAATTTAGGCCTTATTTAGGCTTTATATATGGTAGGTACCTCTAATTTAGGTTCCTGAAATGGCCATTGATAAGAGGCAAAAGATCCAGGTCTGGTACAATGATAGAGTTTTTGATTGCCATGACGATGGTGACGACTCTGACAACAATAGTTCCAACGACCATAGGGATCACCATGGTAAGCCCAAGAATTCCCCAACGAGTGAAGGCTTATAGTACATCCAAAATGGCAATGGTGTTGCAGATTAGATATATAGTGCGGACATATGCGGACATGTACGGACTATACTGGTTGGTGGTTTCAATCCCTCTGAAAAATGATGGAGTTCGTCAGTTGGGATGATGGAATTCCCAATATATGGAAAGTCATTCAAAATTCCATGGTTCCAGTCACCACCAAACAGTATAGTTTACCATGGGGTAAACACCCTTAATATGGTAATTTAACATATGGAACATGGCCCATGTAAGTTCGATGATTCACCCATTGAACATTTTCAAACATGAGTATTTTCACAGCAAGCGCTGTGAAATTACCAGAGAGTACCAAGTTATAGGAACTACGAAAAACACGATAGAAAAACGTGATGTATATCACTAGGAGTTGTTATATTCCCATAGAGAGGATGATAAGCTAAAGGAGTTCTCCTTCACCCTGCACCAGCCATGTCTCGGGGATGCCTTTCCGGCTGGACATTTCACATGGGAAATGGGTCGAAAGAAATCAAGCCAAAATAAGAAACTATGACAATCGTTATAAGATGTTATATCCTATCGCAGGATTTTTTTAGATTTTAGATATCATCGACATGTATTACGAAAATTAATCATCGCATATCTGAAATATGATGAAATATGTGCAGCTATCCCTTTGAAATCCCTTTGAAATGCATTGAACAGTGGTCTTCCCAGCAGGCTGCCACAGTTAACTCCCCGACTCCCATGGATTCTGAATTGCGTCAGCCCGGTGTGGTCTTGTTGACATGCCAGTCCTGGCGACGGGACGTAGCAAAACCGATGCGGAAATCCAGGTGTCCAAAAGGTTTCCAGGTTTCCAAAAGAACATCTTTGAATTGGATTTTGCATGATTTTACGATATTTTACAACTTTCTCTATATGTTTGGTGAGAAACTATGCATTGACTGTATTCAAATGTGTATAGTTTGAGCATGGCTAGAATTGGCTAGATATGGCTAGATAATAGATATGTATGGTGGGTGGGTGTACGCAACTAAAACGACTAAAACCGCTGTCCCTAGGTTATCCTGCCAAACGGATCGCCATCAAGTGCTGCTTCCGAGCCAGCACTCACAATGGATGTTGGGATTCCAAAATGTGCGGAACAAAAAACAAATAAGCAAGATCTAAGTTCATTACCCTGAAAAATGGCAGGCAATGTTAGGGGTACAAAACATCAAACATATAATTATAGGATTCTGGATAATTTGTGGTAATACGGTAATATTTAATAATTCAATAACCCCCCAAAAATACCAATTTGGGGATAGTTACCTTGAACCAACAATGGTTCCAGTATGTTCCCCTTTGAAACACCTATTTCTGTTGGTTCAATCACCCAATAAATCCTAACTTTACCCTCTGGTAAACGTTAACAAAAAACTATGGAAAATCACCATGCTATTAATGGGTAAATAATTCTATGGCCATTTATAATAGCGAACTGTAACAAATTACCAGAGTAGACCAATGTAAATCGCAGAATGACTCGAACTTCGATTTCCATCGAGCCGCGAGAAATGCTGCCCATTCATCTGCATTCCAATCGCTGCTCACAATGCCTGCCTCATGTAGCGGCGCCCGGGACAGAGAGGCATCTTGCTCATCTGGTAGTGTAATGTATGTCTTATTGATGAACCATGTTGCGTTGGATCTGCTATTGCCCATAGGATCCATGTATGCTATAAATATGGTAACATGGATCCCATCAATATACCACAACTGTTAGCATATATACCAGCACCATGGATCCTATGGGTTGGGTATCCACATTACTGGACTTAAGCATACAATACATTCATCTGAATAAGAGGTAATGTGGAATCCATGTCAAAGTTGTGTCTGCGACAGAAAAGCCGAAACGAAATCATGAGTTCACAGGTCAAGGGTGTTTTTCTGTTTAAAAACACTGCAAAGTGTCAGTGGACGATTATATCGTTTCCTTTCACAAATTCTTTCCTCTGTTGGCTGGCCAAGGCATATTCATGCAATGGAAAACTGCATATGGTTTAGTTTAGTGAAGATGGAGGCTGGGCCCCCACATGGTTATTTCGATGGGGAACATGACGATTCACCAGTGGATTTGGGGAATTTTGGGATATCCTATTTTCAGGCAAGCCAATATTTCCCAATATTGAATCCCAATATTTTGGGGGTATCAAACCAATATTGAATCCTACTACAAGATACCAGTGATGAGAGTTCTGTATTTAGCAAAAACAAATTCCACGACTGCAGTGAAAAAACCGTCGGGAGTTCCCCGCTGGGTAGAAATCCCATTGAGAAGTGGGATGCACAATGGATTTGTCGGGAAATGGTGTAATTTTAAGTGTGTGTGTATATATATATATATATTATATATATATACACAGATTACCATATATTGAGATTACTATAAATATATATATATACCCCTAAAATTAATCACCTCATTTTCGGACAGAGCCACCTCGAAATATCCAGAACCCATCCACTGCGCAGCCCCGCGGCACCTCCAACCCGTTCACGAAGACAGTGGGTGTCACATGCACTCCGCGTACGCGATGAAACTTGACCGCCCACTTCAGGTGTTGAGTCACCTGCAGGACAGATCACAACCTGCAGGTCTTCCCCATGGAAGTGGTCGTTTAAAGGGGCCACGTCGGTCCCGTCTCTGGGCAAAGCCAATATTGTATAGTCTTGGCCATCTTCCCTAGTGACTCTAGTGTATCCTAGTGTGGTTAATCTGACCTCTATCATACCCCATATCCCAATTCATTCAACCTTCTATTTCTGGACAAACCATGGACGAACCCTAATAGTGTTTGTTACATCCCATGTCCATAAAAGATTCAGTAATTATATCCCTTGACATCCCACAAAATGCGTTTGGAATTCCCCATTCCGCTTTGCTGGTGCAATCCCCATATCCATTATTCCCTATGGATCCAAACACTGTCTGAGAAGGTACTTAAGCCTCCAAAATTATAGTAAATTATAATTATACCCCAAACACTTCCTAAGAAGGTACGACTGGATCCATAGGGATTCATCTTAACTTCGATTTGTCACCTCGCCGACTCACGACATTGCCAAGACACGGCATTGCCGGCATTCCCCAGACCGGCCAGCTGCAGCCTGCAGAGGAATGTTCGAAAACTGGTGACTTTCCGGTTCGCTACGGTAAATACCCTCTGGTAAACACACATAGCTATTGAAAATTGTCATAGAAATAGTTGATTTACCCATTAATAGCATGGTGATTTTCTATAGTTTTTTGTTAACGTTTACCAGAGGGGAACCAGAGTAAAATTAAATCATCATGTTTTGAATGCCTAGAATCCATATTCCACTGCTATGGAATTATGTTTTACCTATTTTTACTATTGGTGAAGGGAATCTTGATGGGGACTTTCAGCTGTCCACGGAGTCCATGTGGGGAGGAATTCAAGTGCCATGTTTGATGACACCGGAGGGTATCAACAATGGATCTTATTCAATGGGAGATCTCCAGGATCCAATTTATGGAGGTACGTAAACGTAGCATATTTTGGGCCATATGAATTGTGGGGATATTCCGTGAAATTTAGGCCTAAAGAATAGGCCTTATATATGGAATCGGTACCTCCAATTTAGGTTCCTAAAATTCCCATTGACTGATTGGGATTTCAATAAGATCTTGAAGAACCCAAACAAGAACAACATATTAACCCCAATCATCTTGCAGGTTTTGAAAGACATCGATGGGATTCTGAATAGCATTTACATTTCTGAAAACTTCAAAAGAATCGTCGAAATTAGGTCTGGCAGAATATGTTCAAATTGGGTCGCCAACCAACATGGGGATATAAAAAGCACATATTTTCCAATCAACGAGGAACTCAATTGGAAATAACATATATAGGGTTGGTGCCGTGTAATTATCCAATGCAAACCATCTCTGGACCGAGAGTTAAATCTTTACACATTTGACATTTAGGAACAATTCATATATATATATATATGTATGTATGTATGTATGTATGTATGTGTGTATGTATGTATGTATGTATGTATGTGTATACATATTTTCCCAAACATGGACCCAGATCTTGTATCATCATTTGTCAACCCTAACAAACTTCCTTAACCACCAAGCAAACAGTTCATTCTTTGGAGGGATCTGTATCACTTAAACAATAGCTGAACATCAAGTCACTAACCAAGCATAAAAATGTCATCCTGGTTTTGGGGGGAGTTCTCTAAGTTCTTATCAGGAATATCAGCGTTGAATTTTCTCCAGTAACCTTACCTGGCACTGAAGAAAACCTGAATTGTCAGTAGGTATGATAACATTCAAGAGTCGAGAGGGAAGTGATTTCCAATTGGAGGAGTTAACATGTTTGATATGCTGGGAGGGTGCTATAAACATCACGACCTACAAGTCATCGTCAATCTTGGATACCCTGCAATTAAAAAAAAACACGTTGAGTGAGCGGGTTAGCCTATTTTCCCATTTTACGGCAAACAAATGACGCATAGTAACCCGCCAAAATCTTCGCAAGTCTTTCATCACAAGACCTGGATTTCTTGAAGATGATCTCTTATCTTAACCCAATGGACAATTTTCTGGGGAATCTTCCTGGGAAATATCTATAGATCTATTATCGCAAATCCAAGCACAGTAGTAGGATTTCCTCCTTTTTTGGGGATCATACGATCCATCCGATCGGTTGGGTTTCTAAGAAGCCCGTCTCTCCTTGCCATGATCTTCTTGTCATCAAAGCCTTGCTCATGGGCCAGGATGGCCAAGTCCTGTTTGAAAACTGCACTGGAACTGGATGGAACTAGTTGATGAGGAATTCACATACATCCATGTCTCCAATAAGTTGACGGCTCCAATAAGGTCCATAGGTGACATGGCGGCTCATCTTCCGGGAATCGACTTAAAGAGGTCAGTGCGAACAACACCTGGTGGTTGTTGATGGTAGGGGGTAAGACTTACAGTAAGAAAAAATGGCAGTGTGTCAAAACCATGTAGCCCTGGTGAACATCAAAATAGCTGGTAAATGGATGTTCATCCCCCTAAAAATGGTATTAATAGGTACAGTATTGATCCATACCCACTTAAGAAAAAAAAAAGAAATAATATTATCCAGTTTTGGTAATTGCGATTACGCTTCATTGAATGACACGTCTGGATTTTTGAAAACACTGCTCATGTTTGAACCCAAAAGCCGGGATTTAAATCGTTAGTTCTTCGTTATCTTAGCCGTGCATTCCGCTTTCGATATATCCTCTGGTTCAACATAGCTATGGAGATTATACATGGGGGTTTCCATAAATGGGGTACCCAATAGCTGGATGGTTTATTTCAGGGAAAATCCCATTCTATAAATGGATGATGACTAAAGGTCCCCCTATTTTAGGAAACCCCCACATGTTCTATCCATGTTTATCAATGGTAAATCAGTGAAGAGGCCAAGGCTTGCGCCCCTTAACGGCTCTGCAACGACCCTTGGCGAAGACAACGTATCGTTGCGTTCCAAGACATGCCAACCATTTCCGCTGGGATACCCATTACAGATCCAGTTGAGATATCTGAATACATCTGAATACTATTGCTGTATATAGCTACAATGTGAGGCCCCCAGTCGATAGCGTTCAGTTGGGCTTCACATAACTCCAATGTCACGAACTGGTTTATGGATGTTTATGGTACGCAAATAACGAACATAGTTACTGGAGCTTTTGTTCACCAACTTATAACTGGGGCTGGATCGCATTGTATGGTTTCTTGTGCGGCTTTCATCGGGGCTGGACCACTTGAATCGGTCCCTACACCTGCAGTGATGTATTAGCCATATACGAAAGACGTCCATGGCCAACTGTACCGGCAAAAACTCACAGTTTGCTATGGAAAATCCCAAGCTTCATTAGGTAAACCATCTATAGCTGCTATAGCTATGGGAAATGGCCCACTTGTAGATGATAATTCCCATGATATACCTATTGAACATGATAATTCCCAGAGGGTCGCGATAATTTCAGCACGTCAAGAAGTCACCCAGGGTCGGTCCCAAGAAACATCACAGCTAAAAAATGCTTTTTTTTCAGACCCCCCAAGGGTTCTGATTTTAAAGAGAAAAGTTGGCCAGGGTATGTAAATATATGTAAATTGTATCATCATATTCTATTCCATAATATACCACAATGATATCTCATTAGACTGTACCAAGACAACATCCCATCAGTTCCCATGTTCAACAAATGTTCCAAAACATCTCCAGCAACACCCCACTTGCGCATTGCGCCAAGAGAACCCACGTACGGGAGACCTTGTAAATCTGCTGCCGGCTCTTCTCAAAGACCTGTCGAGATCGTTCTTTTATTTACCGAGGGACCATGCCATGCTGCCAGGGACAAAACATGATACAACTGGGAAAATAAAAAAAACAACTAAACCCCTTCTGGGTTTCATGGGCTCAAGTTGGTTGTTTTTCTCTCATCGAAACCATCATGAAATCAATTTGCTTAGGCCCCTGGTGTGTTGAGGTGCGTATGGCGTAAACCCATGATGAACATAATTCAATGTCAAAATTTCAAAATCGCGGTTGCAGTTAAATATACTCTATCATGATGTTCATGGTTGCTCATTGCGTTTTTTTTTGTCAAAAAAGGGCATCCCTTTTTTGTACCACCATCACGTACCACCTCACCCTCGGAGCGAGGACCTCGTCATCAAAGAAATCATCTTGCCGTTCGGTGACTGCCACCTGGGTCCACATTTGGATCCGAGAAGCCGATGAAATATCTACGGATATTTAGTGTGGATGAAGAACTAGGGTCTACTGAGTCCTATAAGTAATGAGAAATTCATATCAATGAATATTCATCATGAAGTGGGATGGAATCATACGGGATACTGGTTGATCTTTCGTGAAGTACTAGTATATTCAATATATGCTTGGTATATGCTTGATATTATGAGTCAAGCCAGCATTGTATAATATGTGAATTATAAACTGAATGAAATGAACAACTATAAGTAGGGCTAACTGGGCTTGAATACGCTTGAATTATATATAATGGAAAGGAGATTTACTGTAACCACATAATCTTGGAAAAAGAGATTCAGACAACAATTTTAGCCTTCCCCTTGATTATGACCAGAAGCTACAGAAAGAGTGTGGCAAACATGTAGCGCCCTATGGATCCATGGCTGTCTGAGAAGGTACATACAAAAAAGCCTCCAAATTTAGTAAATTATACCCCAGTGAGTCCCAGTCCACTTCCTTTCAGAAGGTACGGTACCTGGATCCATAGGGCAACCATCAAAAGATGTGACCAGGATCACGTCACCAAGCCGCTGCGTATTTCCAAAAGGCATCTGGACCGTGCAGTTTCAGCACTGCCAGTGATGCTTCCTGAGCTCATGCCGCCGTTTTTTTTCGGTGGACGGATATTGGGATACCGGGATACCTCAAAATTGGCAAATGTCATAAGAAAATGATAGAAAACCATGGACAAATTACGGAAAAATGATTCAAACTGATGGAACATTATTCAAAATGATTCAAAACAAAGACGGTTCAGAAAGCCTGAGATTTGGGGGTAGCCTATTTTCAGACAAGTCTGATTGGAAAGCAATCTACAAATCAACCTTTTCACTTAAAGAAAAAAACTCCACAAGGCATTGCCAAAGTGTCATGCATGTAGCTGCTTTGTGCGTGCCATGGTTGCACCACCGAGTGGAAGACGAAGTTTACCTGCGGCATCTGTTGGTCAATGAAACCACTAAGGAGTTCTTGTCAAATCCTGGGCAAATTACAATATTTCACTAACCTGAAATAAGGCTAGCCATTGAGAAATGTTCCCCTTACTAACTATTGTTCCGTTGAGATCGCAGTGAGGTCGTTATATCCAAAATCGATAACGTTTTCTCCCCATGTTTGCTGGCCAAACCATGTCAAACCCAACAGAACCGCCGATGCGGCCTTGCCCTCGAAGGAAGCTGCCACCCCACCTCGCGGTCACAGCAGTGACCGACGTTCAAAGTTGCGATGAAAGACATGAAAGACATGTTTGTCATGGAACAAGTTGAACAAACCACTGTCATTTTGATATAGTCTTCATCAGGATTTATGGGGATTTCAATATGAATGGGATACAATCAATGATAATCATGACACCTACTTTGAAGGTCTTGAGACACTTTGAGTTGGGGGTCTAACCATCCAAAATTCTCTCAAGGAGGGATTTGCTTCTTCCGTTCCCATGGTCTGACTGGCAAACAGTGATTCATCACTGGCCCAACCAATGCGATGTACCAAGAACTACGGGATTTGACAAGTATGCTACGAATAACAACCAGCACAAGCCTCGAGGAAGCTGGTGAAGCTGGTGAAAATCAGGAAATGATGGCCTTCTAACAGAAAGTTCAGCTCAGGAATCGTTCCTGTGAGCAAATGTGGCTCTGAAACATGGAATAGCCCGAATAATAATCTGCTACTTACTCCCATCCCCCTAATACTAAACACCCGTCCGGAAACCATGGTTTAAGGATGGTTTAAGGGCGTTCACCCATATTTGGGAGAATTTAGGGGTGTTTAGCATGAGTCGGGGATGAGATTTTCCTCATCAATTGCCCTATTAAAATGGCCATTAGGGCGAAAAAAAAACATGAGAATTTTGGCCTTGTTATTTTGGGAATTTTTAAGCCCCACCAGCCACAAGAAGTTAACCATACTAAACCCCAATTCTGGACCTATGTTCCAACTCTAAATCGAGTTCCATGTTCCGCCAGCGATTTCGGGTCTCAAGGCGCGCCTGCCACGGTATGCAGCATGCGCTTGGAAAATGGGCAGCATAAATCCAGGAAGAGCTCCACCAGGACCGGCCCACCAGCCTTTCAAAGGGTCACAGGTGGTTGCCTGCAGTAAGTTCATCCGCAAACGCGGAAGATCTGCCACATGTCTGACTTATTCTGACTTCGACGTTGTGCAAAATGGAGTGTTCTTTTACCGTCATTCCATGTAGCCTCTGGAAAACGTTTACATAGCTATGGTTAAAATCACCATGTTTCATGGGAAAATTAACAAACTATTAACTATAAATGGTGATTTTCTATAGCTACGTTAGTTTACCAGACAGGTTGGTTCAACATGGGGTTCCCACAATGGATGAACATCTCCAATACTTTGGATACTTATCGGATAGATTTTATCCCCTACTGCTCAACTGAGCCGTGAAAAATACCACGATCCCTTGAACCATACTTGTTAAGGTCACGGTGAACATTCCTATAACCCGTTACCCGTTACTGGCCTACAATCTCCGGCCAGCTTAGTTTTTCACCCCGACATGAAGCCATCAACCGAGTTCTTCGGTTGAAGGCTCAATTGAGCAGCGTTCAGAGCCCGTGGTTGATTAGGAAATCTCGGTTTATGGATTGTGATGCCCTAGTATTGGTTAGCATAACCCTATCATCAGTTATATCCACAAAAAAGAAAAAACACATATTTTCATAGTTATAATCCCTTTTAAATCCATATAATCTTCAGCCAACAAGACTTTTGAACATTGTTGGCTAGAACATTGTTACAATATATTCCGAATTCCATAATAATGATACAATAATGTTACTACGCAACATTATCACAAAATTAACCCCACATTACACTATAACAAAAAAAATGCCCACATGATTACATTGATACAACACGGTCATACAATAGTAAGAATAATACGTGTATGTATATATATATATATCATATAACATATCAACATGGGATACATACCATAATCCAACAATGTTACAATATACATATATATATATAATATATTATATTATAATACGTATATTATATGCTATATATATATTGTGTATATGTATATATATATCCTCATAATTTTGAAAAAAAATCTGGTTTAGAGACAATGATCAAAAAGACGTTCAGCGAAAATTTTCAAATGGCGGCCTTGGACCATGGCACTCCCATGGGCTGCGAGGGTAAAGGAGGCCCCGCAGCCGGCATACCAAACCTCCACGGGACCGGTAAAAATGGAGGATTTTGATCGGTGATTCAACTTTTCAACTCCAAAAAATGGGTGATTTTACCAAAAAAAAAAGGTGATTTTTTGAAGTTGGTAGATGGTGAAAATACCATGTTCATAGCATGATTATTCCATGATTTACAGTGTTTCATAGGAATTTTCCACAGGAATCTCAACTGGTGATTTTCCAAGGTAAACTTACCCCTGGTAAAAATTGTGATTTACACAAGCTGGTAACCTTTAGCAAGTTCTGAAAAATTGTGATTTTCCAAATGGTTAAAAAAAACACTTCTGTTGAAGTGGCTTCACATGTCCATTAGGGTTACCCATGAAATTGGGGCCAGCTTGTGAGCATAGGATGTGACCTACCCCCTGGTAAACGTTTACATAGCTATGGACAATCACATTTTTTTCTGGGAAAAATCACTATTTCTATGGCCATTTTCCATAGCTACGTCACAAATTACCAGAGGGTATATAGCCATGAAACAAACAACCCACTGAGCCACCATGGCCGATAATCCAACTACACCAAGCTGGTTTCAGTTAAGGCTTACTCTCTGGTAAACGTTTACAAAAAGCTATTGAACATGGGCCATTTATAGTTGTTTTACCCAATAAAAGCCATAGAAATAGTTGATTTAGCCATTAATAGCATGGTGATTCTCCATCGTTTTTTGTTCACGTTTACCGAAGCTAATGTCGTTCCCCTCATCACCGTGCTTCGCCTTGCCACAGAAACATCTCGGCTGTGAGGGGTCTCTCGTGGTGCCACGAAGAGGCTCTGATGCAAACACCGCCAAGGCGCTGGTGATAGCCTCTGGTAGCACATGGAAAAATTATGAAACATCCAAGCGGGGATCCCCAAGTCAAAGTCACCATGGTTGGTGTTTCAATACTAAAATGGTCGTTCATGACTCATGACTTGGATGATTTTGGGGTACCAGCATTTTAGGAAAACCCCATATCCAAAAAGACACGATCGAAGACAAGTCTGCGGATTTTCAATTCCCAAAAGGCACAAAAGTAGATAGTTAAAAATTGCAAGACGATCTAAACACACATTCAGAGGATTTAGCCTAGCTATCATTATTTCTATTGTCTACCACAATGATTGTCGACGGATTACTCACACACAAAGTTTTTGTTCACCAACCATTAGTGCTATATAGTGCTATTATCCTGGGTTATGCAACCAATAGTTGTCATCATTTGTCGTATTAGCATGTCTTCGCTGATTCATAGGTCTACCGGGTCTACCGTTTGACCATCCGTTTGCACAGTTTGCACCCTTCAAAATGTGTTACCCCACCATTTTTTGGGCCAATGGATTGGTTTTCCAGGGAAAATCCCATATTTTAACTGGGAAAAATCGATGGTTTCCGGTGAAGATTTTCCCTTAAACCAATCCACTTTTTGGGGTGGTACGTGGAGGGTCTTAAGTACTAGAAATCCAGTCCCCACCGTCAGTTGATGTCAGTTGCCTGTCACCCAGGTCCTCGGTCCGAGTCACAGCGCGGCCACCGCTACGAGCGTAAAGCGACCAAGACCTGTGAAGATCGCTGTGGATTTGACTTGGTTACCAGGGATTCAATGAGATTCTCCCGTGAAAATCACCATGTTTCCATGGGATTTGTTTAATGAACATCCCAAAAGATCCCCAAGTGGACTGGAAAATTCACCACTTTTGGTGGGAATTTCCAAGATCATCAAGCACCAAAAGGACTGGGAATGGTGTGTACATACCACCTATCAAAAATGGTGATTTTTCAGGGGGATGGCTTTAATTTAAGTGGTTTACCCACATTACTTGGGGCTTTCCATGGGAATTTTCATGGTCGATCCATTGGGATGGAGATTGAGTCGAATGACTAAGACGATTTAACCACAGGGGATTTCATGGCTTCAGAATGGGTATGTGTAAAACTAATGATACCTTTTGGTATACCATAAGGTTGATTTTCATGTGATAAAATTCAGAGTGCGCAAGACATACTCCTTACCTATTTTTAATGTAGTCAAATTCAGCGGATCTTTCCAATACATGTTGCTGTCGTGACAATCTAGAAGACCATAAGAATATTACTCCATGGAGTAGCAACAACCATAGAGGTAGACCCAATGAGAATAGCTGCTTCTTCATGATTAATGTGGAATTCTTAAATGAATTTAAGACTTTGTGGACTCACCAAAATTCAGGGCAGTCTGAGCAAGGGGTGGATGATAACCCGAGTTCGGTTGTGTACATCCTCAACAACAACAACAACAACAGCAACAACAACAACAACAACAACACCAACAGCAACAGCAACAGCAACAACAACATCATCATCATCATCATCATCATCATCACCACAGTCTGAGCGTTCCATCATTGTTCCACTGACCACCTCGTGCCGAGAATTGCTGAAGTGCTTTTTTTGGTGAATTGAACAGGTGAATCAAACAACTTTTGAGATTGAACGGATATTCACTGTGTGGTTGCAATTCCAAATTCCACTAACCTGAGTATTACCCTCTGGTAAACTAACATAACTATAGAAAATCACCGTTTTTAATAGCTAAATCAACTATTTTCATGGGCCATGTTCAATAGCTCTGTTAGTTTACCAGAGGGTATATGTTGTATTATAGTTCTATTGTTATATCCCAACTTCTGTGGATAAAATCACCGCCCCTCGCATTAAACCTCCGAAGAACCTGACAACTCCGGTTTTGTGGCCCCCCCAAGTTATGATAGTTATGTCTGTACGGTTATATCTAAAGCCCATCTAAAATCATTGAAATGTTGTATCCTCTATAAAGCCCTAACTTACGCAAGTTATTTTTTCACCCCTCGTTACGCAAATCGTGTATATAACATTGTTCGGGGGGTCACGGTCAGGACATGTCAGGACACCGCGCCGGCCTCGATGTGGTCTTTGCCGCTGCTCCATTGGTGAGGTAAAGCGATAAAAGGTGATCTCAAGGCTTTTAGGCATTTCTGCATTTCATGGCATTTCTACAGCATGTTTACCCTCTGGTTATTTGTTACATAGCTATGAGATGGCCCATGGCCCATGAAATCCATGAATTTTAAGGGGATTTTCCATGGCTATGTTATAAATAGAGGGTAGCCGGTTCCAAGTACCTTCTGGTGCTGGGATTTGGTGATAGAGGCAGATCCGCACCGGGACATGTGGGCTGGGTGGAATGTCCTGGAATGTCCTGGAATGTCCTGTAGAGAATGGCTGGATACCAGCTGTCTTACAATTTGTCACTCTGAGATATCTGAGATTTCCTGTCATTTTCATCTTCCCGGACCTGGATGAGAACAGGAAACTCCCAGATTTCCTGTCCTGCAGAGATTTCCTGATTGATGATTTCTCCATTCTCTGGCTGAATTCGAGCCGCGACTCTGCTGAAAACTTGAAGATACCAATTGACCCGACCCATTGACCAATCAAAAGAAAGATAATGCATGTGTATATATATATATATATTTATATGCATATTTATATATGAATGTATATTATGCCTGATCCAAAATAGAAAGAACATTAACATTATTTCTATGGGATAACATTAAAATAATCGATACTGAACATGCCAAAAAGCATCCCCAACTGGGGATGAATTACACGTGACGAAGCCATCAATCTTGCGTTTTCTGAGTGGTATGATGTCATGCTGGGATTGCTGAGTAGCAAAAGGTTTCTTAGTCAGGAAATAGCAACAAAACCATAACAAAACCATACTAGATCAAAGTACTCCTGAATATGGTGACCCTTCACACTTTTGATGACCACAATTTTAACCATAATCCTGTATTGACTACCATTTCAAATCACCAAAAAAGTTCAAACACAAACGGTTCACCCCAAACAGATTCCCAAAACATGAGAAACGGCTCTGCCTGAAAAGTTCAAACGACCCGCAAAAGTCTGATGTCGAATCATCACGTTCCCTATTGAAATAAAGATCCAGTCGTACCTTCTTAGGAAGTGGGACTGGGGTATAATTTACTATAATTTGGAGGCTTCTTTGTACCTTCTCAGACAGTGGCCATGGATCCATAGGGTATTGAAATAAAATGGATCTTGTTTTTTTTTTCGTGGAATCCCCCATTTTCAGACCATGTCTTGCCCCTTGCTCCTGGCAGAGGTCTGGAGTGCCATGAGCCATTGGAGTGGCCGGTGCAACCTGCCGGCAGCAGCCCGGAGTCAATGAACAGGGACAGGTCCTGATGCGGAAGAACCTTGACAGCAAAAAATATGGGATTGACCATCATTTTATAGTGTGAATATGTGTGAATATAACATTTCTCCATAGAAATGTGGAAATTTACACCATAAGAGTGTTTGCCGTTTTGCCATTTAATTACCATAAGTTCCTAGAATTTCTTAGGGATATGAGTCAAAACCCTGGTGCACGGATGGTATCCAGGTTAAAAGCTGGTTCATGGATGTGACTAAACCCCCAAATACGGTCATAATAGGGTTTGACCCATCCCCAATGCCAGAAATTTACACCAGAAGTTTGTAGTTTTATACATACTATGGAACTACTGTGGATGGTTGCGAAATCCTGCACGACCAATCCAGGATGATTTTACCATCTATCATCTGGTGCAGGATTTCGCAAACATCCACAGTTCTGGGTCAACTAAGGTCTGGCCTTGAGAGGCTCCCCTATCGGAAGCCTCAGTTGTATGAGCTTAGAGCTTCAAATCTTAGTGAAATGAGGAACTCAGTGAACTTATAGATACTTATAGATAGTTATAGATAGTTTTAGGTACTTATAGATACTTATAGATACTTATAGATACTTCTAGATACCTATAGATACTTATAGATACTTATAATAGATACTTATAGATACCTATAGATACCTATAGGTACTTCTAGGTACTTGTAGTACTTATAGGTATTTGTAGTACTTTCCAGTTCAACTTTTTGAACTGAACTATATATATATATACTGGGAGATTCCTGGTTGCTTAAGAACGGGATTCCCTTTTGGATAAAAAATAATCCTCAATACACTTAAAGGGTAGAAAAAAAACCAGATGCGAACAAAAAGGTGCTGGAATATTTACCTACAAAACTGGGCCAAAAAAAATAGGGGTTTTTATCTAGTTATTCATATTCCAGCACCTCTTTGTTCGCATCTGGGATAGAGTATACACATTGTATCTAGCCTACTTATCGTAGTTATAATCTACTATAGATAATCTTCAACCAACAATCATCAAATAATCATCAACCAAGTTGAGCATCTGGGTCATCCAATCATCAACCAGCAGGGCTGTCCGTTCGCACTGCGACCTGGCTGTCCTTCAAGGCCTCCAGCGCTGAAGCCGCTACGGCTTCGGAGCGGCCAAGCACGGCAGGGCGGCCCCAGGTCTGCTGCAGGTCATGGCACAAGGGCTGTAGCAACTGGCGCCACATCGGAGCGATGTTGAAAGACAGCACCAACTGTTGGGAACCACCTGCCTGATACATATATATATATATGATTATAGTGTACAAATATATATATATATAATATTGTCAATATATATATATATATGTATATTGTCAATATGTACATATATATATATACATATACATATATAATTATATATATAGTTACAATTCATTATAGATCATTGGGGATCACCAGCCAATTTCAAAGAGCTTGAAAAGCGTTGACAACATATTTTTGAACATTAATGTATATGCACGATACGGCCAACCAGATGCGGGGTTCCCTGCGGAGATCATGAACGAAATTTGGATAGGACTACAGCTGCTCAGGTGGAGAAAAGAAGAGAACTGGAGGAAAAGCAGATCTTGCGCCAAATCAATTCCAAAACTTTTGACATCTCAGATTGCCTTCCTGTTTGTTCCCAGTTGATAAAGATTCTTTGAGCTCATGGCAACATCGACACGTATTCGTCTGCATCTGTTTTGCGATATCCATGTGACATCATGTCCAACCGCATTGTAGCACCATGCTGTCAAAGCGCTTCAATGTTCTACTGCGTGGCCAGCAGACAAGCCAAACGCGCGTGTCTGGCATGTCTCCACGAGATTCATTGATTTGCTGTTTCTTAGCACCTGGGGAATGTCATCAGTTTCCAAGGACCATCGACGCCGATTCTGAGTGCCAAACATGCGAATGAGACAATCAGCAGCGTGCTGAAGCATTTGATTTCGATGCCTACACGATGAGGGGCGCAGCCATGCGTTGGGGAATCTCAACTGTGAGTCCGTTGGATGCTGTTTTTGAAAATGTGGGCAGCCGCACTTTTGTGCGATCCGCTTGCTGAAGATGGGAATTTTATATGGCACATAGAAGCTGCAAATAACGAATCCCAATCTAGTTTGAGGCCAGAAACTAATAGATGTTCATGCATATCAATGGGATACCTGTCTGAACTAACTAACTGAAAATAGCTAGTGAAATATCACGCCATTATTCCAGTGACGTCACAGTGAGGTCATTATTCAATAAATAATTCATCCAAATAGTACCCGAAATGGTAAACGTTTACATAACTATGGAAAATCACAATGTTTAATGGGTAAATTTGGTAAATCAACTATAAATGGCCATTTTCAATAGCTATGTTAGTTTACCAGAGGGTATTTGTCAAGAGGTCTTTAGAGGTGGTAATCGCCTTGTAATGAATCCCACCTGCTTTTGTCTCCCAGTACACAGACAAAGCCCCGCATAGAGAAAGTGCCACTGGCATGGGGTCTTGTGATGAATTCTAGATTTGATAAGTGTTCTTCTTGCAGGAATCTAGGTAATGATGATATTGTAAATTATGAAACACACATAATTCTATGTTAGATAATGTTAGATTGTAAATGTTCATGAGTTTTCTTCTTGCATGGCAATCATAAAGAATATGCCAATAATTCCTGAATCAACATGACCCATTTACCGTGCGCGACTCTCAGATTCCTGTTTCTACCGCATTATTGTCATTGATCTTGACACTTAACAGACTTGACGACCTACAACCATTCAGTAGGATATGGGACATTCCTTTAGCTGACTATTCCTTTAGCTGACACAAAAAACAACACATAATACACATAGGATCATGTAATAGATGGCCACAACATGGGCCAAATGATAACAGAATCTTGTGTCACCTACCTACCGGGGTAGACTGAAATCATCCAAACCGCTGATTATTTTGGACGGGGTAACCAATGGTCTGGGGTATCCCAATTTTGAGAAACGCCCATTTGTTGATGAACAAATCCAAAGATGTCATAATTTTCTCGAAACCTCAGGAAATATCATCAAATTGAAACATCAAAACACAATTGATCCACCATCTGGTTATTTAACATAGCCATGGAAAATCACCATTTTTAATAGGTATTACGGTAAACCTCTATAAATGGGCCATTTCCCATGGCTATGTTAAATAACCAGAGGGTAACTTCATCTCACCCATTCCAACTCCTTGGAGGGTGAAGTGAAAGTTGTTTCCATATCCATGAGATTTCAGCCCTCATAAGTCCGGATATAATCCCTTCCCCCGTTCATATTAAACACCCCCGTTCAACGAAATCATGGTGGATGTAGGGAATTTCCACATTCCATTGGGAACATGTTTTTGGGGTGTTTAATATCAAGTTGATGGGATTAACATGATGTAACCACTAAAACTACATAACTATGGAAAATCACAATTCTTAATGTGTAAATCCACTATTTCTATGGCCATTTTCAATAGCTAACTGTTAGCTTACAGCACCACAGCCGCGTCTCGAACTGGGTTCCACTGGCCCAACTTGAAAGGCTTCGGCCATGTATCGCTCTTCCTGGAGGATCGGTTGCTGTTCATAACCAAAGATGGGGGTATAATGCGGATACAATTGGAATACAGGTTGGTGGTTGACCTACCCCTCTGGAAAATATGAAAGTTTTGGGATGAGAATTCCATATATTGTGGAAAATAAAAAATGGTCCAAACCACCAACCAGAATCCAATTTAAAGGGGAATTTCACCAATTTATGGTATATATGAGGATATAATGGGACTGTAATATTAAGGTTTGACCAACAATTGACGGTAATAGAATGAGAATATTCATCTATATTGGGGGTTTATGAGAATCGAAGATATCCTCATTGTTTGCTGTTGTTTTTCCGATAGGAATAATGATGATGAATCAAATCATGAATTTTAATAGGATTGTCCATCAATTTTAATTGGATTTTCCATTAGAAACCATCCTACACATTTGGGGCACACATTTTTGTCCGACCAAAAAAAGTGATTTGCATCCTGTATTACGTATACGCTCATATTGCAGGAGAGACCAAAAGACGATGATGGTAAAATTGGGTTTATTACACGTATTGCCAGGTTGATTTGTGTTTGGGACAAATAGGGAAAAATACATAAAAAAATACTAATTGGCCTTACCCTCTGGTAAACTAACATAACTATGGAACATCACCACTTTTAATGGGAAAATTCGCTATAAATGGCAATTTTCCATAGCTATGTTAAATTACCAGAGGGTAATTTCTATTCACGGTTGTTTTTATGTCATAGTGCTGTCGTGGTGACGTGTTAACAATCTGTTAATTGTCCCGAATATTGTTCGTAAATCTAAGGACTCTTACTAGAGTGCACCAAGCCATGCAAGCTCATTAAAGTTTATCACACTTCATGATAGTTGATCTATAAATTCAAGGCTAATTACAAAGTTCATCAATATCATCAATCACTTTGGGGAGATCCTAAACAAACAGGCCATGAGCAAAAACTGCGTACTTCGGTCCGCACCTCCGACATGAGGTAGATCTCAAGATACCTTAAGATCAGAGCAGGTCATCAAGCGATGGTTTGACATGGGGGTTCCCCAAGCTACAGAACAAATTTTGAGCCCAAGGTACAGTATGAATTTTGAGCCCATCATTTCTGGTGAGGTCCATGTTGCTCGATCCACATTTGAGCAAGTCTTTTCCCCGTTTCAAACAAAAAGTTGTGTTCATACCCGATATTTGTTGACTAGACCCCAAGACCCCAAAACTCTTGGTTGATTCTATCCGATTATCGTTTTGCCAATGATTTCCCCCATTATTGGGTCGTTTACACTTCAATTCCCATGTTTGAGTTGGATGAATTCCCCATTGAGAATGAATTCCCCATCCGCCTTTCATCCACCCAAGTCATATGAAGAGCTTTCTGAGCTTGTGCAGCGGTCTCCTGCCGGTCGCTCCAGAAAGGGTCACGGCATTGGGTACCAAGTATTGGATGGTTCATATACTAAAAATTCACTGAATCTGTGGTCTAAAAGAAATGACCCAATACCCATTGGCAAATTGGGGAGATCTGAAAGATATCTTAGACCTATTTCAAACAATGTGTATTGGTATTGGTATATCCTTTTTTGGGCTAAACTGTACAGTAGTAATTCACCAACCTGAAATGTCTGTCCATGTTGAGATCGCTACCCTCTGGTAAACGTTTACATAACTATGGAAAATCACCATGCTATTAATGGGTAATAAACTATTTCTATGGCCATGTTCTATAGCTATGTAAGAAATCACCAACTATTTCCTGTGGAAATTTCTATAGCTATGTTAAATTACAAACTATTTCTATGGCAATTTTCTATAGCTATGTTAAATTAGCAATTGTTTCTATGGTCATTTTCTATCATTTTCTATAGCTATGTAACAAATTACCAACTATTTCTATGGTCATTTTCTATAGCTGTGTAAAAATTACCAATTATTTCTATGGTCATTTTCTATAGCTGTGTAAAAATTACCAATTATTTCTATGGTCATTTTTCTGTAGCTATGCAACAAATTACCAACTATTTCTATGGCCATTTTCTATAGCTATGTTAAATTACCAAGTATTTATATGGTCATTGTCTGTAGCTATGTAACAAATTACCAACTATTTCTATGGCCATTTTCTATAGCTATGTAACAAATTACCAACTATTTCTATGGCCATTCTCTATAGCTATGTTAAATTACAAACTATTTCTATGGCCATTCTCTTTAGCTATGATAAATTACCAACTATTTCTATGGCAATTTTCTGTAGCTACGAGTATGTAACAAATTAGCAACTATTTCTATGGCCATTTTCTATAGCTATGTAACAAATTACCAACTATTTCTATGGCCATTTTCTATAGCTATGTTAAATTACCAACTATTTCTATGGCCATTCTCTATAGCTATGTTAAATTACAAACTATTTCTATGGCCATTCTCTTTAGCTATGTTAAATTACCAACCATTTCTATGGCCATTTTCTGTAGCTAGGAGTATGTAACAAATTAGCAACTATTTCTATGGCCATTTTCTACAGCCATGTAACAAATTACCAACTATTTCTACTGCCATTTTCTATAGCTATGTAACAAATTACCAGAGGGTATCCCAGTTGAGGCTCTGAAACTTTCAG